TTTCCTACACTGGCGATTTTGACACTTTTCTGCTGTGGAACATTTTCAAGCCTTTTATGGGTTTTTAGTCGCATTCCAGGAAATCTTGAATTGTGAAAAAGGGCTTTGTTTGCAAGATGCGCGCGAGAGTGGGGGAGAGGGGAGGGAACAAGGAGGAAGGAGGAATTGAGTAATCATTTATCTAGCTTAAGAGACCTCACTTGTCCCTCCAAGGCTGTGATTGAGAAAAGAGGAGATTAGTGTGGAGCAGAATGTTCCACTTTTTTTGCTGGTTTTCAAATTGAACAAGTATCATTCTGAATTGTCAGTAATGAAAGCGGTGGTTGTTGCAGATATTTATTGTTTTTTTTGTGAATTCTACGGAGATTTTTCATGCTAAGGGCAAAATGCATATTCTGCCTTTACTGAAACGTTTTTTTAGAGCGATGTTGGAGCGAATAATGTCGCGACGCTGGCTGGAGCTTGACTATAAAGTGCTGGCACACGCAATCAATCACACAATTATGTTCGAGAATCTCCTCTGCAAAAGATTTCCAGCAAAATCGGAATTCAACTTCGAAAAGGTGCTTCTGTTATCACCGCCTCCCGTGCTGCCGACTCGAAACTTCGCGTTCTTTTTTTAACCGCAGAAAGTATTCGAAAATAATTCAAATGCTATCACTTGGGGCGTTGCGTTGCTTTTCTTTTCGGACGTTGCTTGTGAAGCATGCTACTAGCATTTCCAACTTTCTGACATTCATGTTCAATTTATCATCGAAATAGTCAGCATTTTTTTGTGGTCTGGATTTCTCGATCCAATAGCGAGTGTTGCCTTTTTCAGATTATTTGGAAAGCATTCGATAAGTACATGGATGTGTTCGTAGCTGCACAGAAGAAAAATTTGGACAGCTTCCTGGAGGAATGCGTGCTGCGAATTCGAAGTGGTGCTGAACGACCAACACGCGAAACAGCTCCACAAGCGTATCCGCTTCCTTCTTCAGCCGATATGTTTCTGTTGCTGAAGAAAATTATTGCTGAATCGACGAAACTTAGCTCAAATCCAAATGCTCTCTTAAGGTTCGATGTTTTCTGTTCACTTTTTCCGTGGTGGCTTTCTTGATGCTGTTTTTACACTAGTACCATTTAGCAGTCTGCTTTATCGGTTGTCTCCCATTTTTGCCATATGCTTAATTTTACTTTCTGGCATACACATCTCTGATAACGTTCTTAGAAAAACTCGTTTTAATTAAGTTGATGAAGGAATTTTTTTTGACTAAAATATATTTGTTCAGATGCTGAACTTTGTAAGTTTTGGTACTTCCAGATTTTGTGAAAATGTGTTTAATTTGCATGGAGCAACTGTTAATTCATAGTCCGGTCCTGTAGTTATGCAGCTGGCAACTTTTCCAGTAGCTTTGGTCAGTGCTGTGTTGCCTGGTGTTCAGAGATCAGCAGTTCTGACTTTCGTTTCATTCCTGAACAGATTACTTGTGCGGTGATTCTAGCAATAGATTTTGCCGTTTTCGCCGTTTCGTGTTTTTGATGTGTTGTTCATCATTTTGCCTGGATTGTAGCCATTCTTAAATCGTAATATAAACTACTGCCATTTGAAAGAATCTACGTGATTATTCGAAAATTCGAGACTTGCGTCAGGATTTATGCTTTTTTGCATATATGCAAATGCAAAAACGCATATTGCGACGACCTATGGTATGTGTATGTGTTCTTCCAGATATTTCAACCCAACAACCGTGCAGTTTTCCGCTATGAAGTTTCGCCAGTAGGTTCCCTGCTTACCTGTGACTTCAGGGACGTGGTACTAACTTCCACGCACGTCTGAGCCCCGCGTAGTTTTGGCAGGAAAACTGCTAGATCGAGGACCAGAAAAATGGAGAAACTAAAATTTTAATGGATTATCTTTTACCAACATTTAGCTCATAGATTTCAAACTCGGTTTCCATATATGCTTTTCTCTAACATACAGGCAGGTAAAGGTTTTGGCAGGAAATTGCGCACTGAACAGCTGGATTGTTTTAAAAAACGATCGTCCGTGTTTATTTCCTCTTATGCAAAACCCACGATGGTTCGATCAATTAGCGCGCAAGTTAAATGTAAAGCAACAACCATCCATATCGTTAATGACCTGCTTGCTTCAACTTTAGCCCAAAGTTGCATGATCGCGTCGGCATTGGTGCATTCCAGCGTTGGTATCACACAGAGACATCTCTACATTGCTGAGATGCAACCGTACTCTGGGCCACATATTTCTAATTCTGGTTTCAACCACGTCTTATTAGTGTCTTTTATATTTCGTCACGTGTTTTTTCCGAAAGAAATTTTTGGGTTTTTTTTGTTTCAGAGATCTTATGGAAGTGTTGCGTGGCTGTCTACGTGGATATGCTCATGGTTGCTTGACAGCTTTTTTGCCATCTGTTTCGTCAGCTCAGTTCTCGTCCACATCCATTTTGCAAACTTTAATGAGGTATTACTTTTCGTTTTCTCGAGATCCGGAGTTATAGTTTGTGAGGACCTGGAAAAATGAACTTGATTTCGGGGCAAATTTTGATTTATTTATTTTCGACCACACGCTATTTGCACGTTATATTTCTGATTATTTTTGATAAACCGGAGTTTGGGCCTCGGTATTCAACCAAAACCCATCCAAACATTGGTGAGAATCGGACTGAAAGTGGCCTAATTGAAAGCTGATGGTAGTAGCAAGACATGCTCGCATTAGCTCAACTTCTTCTGCGGATTGTTTCGAAGTTAGCTGCTGGCAGTTTTGACTTCCTGACCTATGTAACTGGCAGGTATTATTATGCGTTTTTTGCAGTAATGCAATGCAAAAAACGCATATTGACGAGAGGTTGTCTGTGT